CCTAGCGTCGCCCAGAAAAAAGGGTAGCCGGATGATTTTGCCGTCTTTCATGCACTTTCGGGTACTGATTTTATTGGATTTAACTATAAGGCCATACCTGAAACATCACCAGATCGTGCCGCAATTCGATCTCTTATTTTAGTTCCAACTCGAGAACTCGCTGAACAAGTCACGAAACACATTAATGGATTTCTAATATATTGCTCTAAGGAAATAAAAGTAGTCAATATAGCAAATGCTACACCAGTGCAATTGCAAAGGTGAATAAATGGTTGTCATAATAATCTTTGTTTAACTATAATGTTTTTTTCAAATCAAATCTTTTCCTATAACATTTGATTATATATTTGAAGGCCGATTTTATCAGAATTACCTGATATAATTGTTGCAACTCCTAGTCGTGCGTTAGCACATCTTGAATCGCAAGTTTGTCTTCTTTCAATTCAAAGATATCTGTTTAGTTCGTCATTCATATGTAATATACTTTGAACTTATACATTTTTTATAATTCCAAAGAATATTGTTATTTGCGACACACTTGATTCACTTGTCATTGATGAAGTAGATCTTGTGCTGTCATATGGATATGAAGATGATATACAGAAAATATTGACTCATTTACCAAAGATTTTTCAATGCTTTCTAATGAGTGCAACTTTAACAAAGGTATTTATTTCTCATTTGTTCCATCGTTCAAAAATAAACTATTCTATTTTTGATTATATTATTCAATATTCAATCTTTCAGAACGTTGAGGATTTGAAACAATTATTGTTGAGAAATCCTGTAAGTTTACAATATTTAAATTAATAAAAGTTATAAGCTTGAAATAATCATAATCATCCTAAATTAAATCAGGCTATTTTGACATTGCATGAAGATAAGGATGAAATCAATCTTACACAATATTGTGTGCGGTAATTAATTTTTGTTTTAACGCTTTCAATAATCTATTATTGTATTTAATTAACCTTTTTATCGATTTAATATAGGTGTTCCGAAGTTGACAAATTCCTTTTAATATATGTCATCTTAAAACTTCGTCTAATTAAAGGCAAATGTATTTTGTTTGTTAATGATATCGATCGATGCTATCGTCTAAAATTGTTTTTGGAGCAATTCTCGATCAAAACATGTGTTTTGAATTCAGAATTGCCTTTAAATTCCAGGTGGGTGTAATAACTTTTCAAAATTCTCATTCTGTAAATGATAATAGCAACCCTCCTATTTTATTTTAGATATCATATTGTTCAAGAATTTAACAAAGGAATTTATGATTACATTGTCGCAACGGATGAAAGCGACTTAAATGCTGATAATGACACTGACGATGAGGCTACTGATGATAATGATGGTAGGGATTATCAATAACATTACTTAATGATGCTTGAATATCTTATAAGTATAACCATTAAAATTTACCATGTACTACAAGAGACGAAAAATGTTGACAAAAAGCGTGATAAACCCCATTTACGGAAAAAAGACAAAGAATATGGATCATCCCGTGGTATTGACTTCATCAATGTAACAGCAGTTATAAACTTTGATTTTCCAACGTCAACAAAATCTTATATCCATAGAGTGGGGCGAACTGCACGTGCTTCTCAAAAAGGAATGAGTCTAAGTTTTGTTGTTCCAAAAGAACTTGCGGGAAAACACAAATATGTATCATGCTCATCGGCAAAGCATGATGAAGAGGTATATGCTAGAGTAGAAAAACAACAATCATTAGCAGGTGCAACCTTAAGACCTTATTTTTTCGATATGAAACAAGTGGAAGGATTTCGATATCGTATGGAAGATGCAATGAGGGCTGTTACGCGTGCTGCAATTAAGGAAGCACGGTTGAGAGATGTTAAGTCAGAAATTTTAAAATCAGAAACATTGAAGGTAGCAACTAATGATAATATACACAGTGTCTTTGTTTTTATATTATAAGGCAACATTTTTTTTTTTTTGTATCGTCGACTTTTATTTAGGCACATTTTGAAGATAATCCAAATGATTTAAAAGCACTTCGTCATGACACAATAATTCATCCTACACGTATACAACAACATATGAAACAAATACCACCTTATCTCATGCCAAAAATTGCGGCACCTGCTGCTAACGCGTCAACAGATCCAGACCATATAAATGGAGAATCAGCGAAATCCAATGAATACATTCCATTTCGCAAAAAATCTACAAACGAACGTCATCATGGCAAGAAGTTGTTCAAAAGCCACAAATTTGGTCCAAAGGTGCATTATTATAGTTTAATTAGTTTTTCTGATTTAATTACAAAAGAATGTAAGCTGATTTATTTGTCGGAATAGAAACGTAAAAATGATCCACTGAAAACATTTAAATTTGAATCTACACCAAGTAAAAAAAAGGTAAGTATTAATGTGGACACTATGCCCAAACAAATAGTTGATCTATCTTAACAAAGTTTTATGTTTATAGAAAACATAATGATTACACATGAAATTATAAGGTAAGTATGATATGTTCCATAATCCTGAATATGTGAATTCTAGTTTATGAGATTCATTGTACGAAGTTGAAAGAATTCGCATGAAAGAATTCGTATGAAAGAACTCGTATGAAAGAAATGTATTACAAAAAAGCTTTGAAGCTTATTGCATGTATATTATATTATGCCTATTAATTTAATGGTCTCCAATTCTCCTCATTGCAAAAAATACTGTTCCTGACTATGCTTTTCTTGATAGTGTAAAATAAATAAATAAATGATAAAGTGACTACATAATAGGGTTTTGAAAAGAACCTCAATACTAAATTAACATAAAAGTATATAAAGAAATATCGACCTCAATTTTTAATATAAATATGCTTAGTAAATTGAAAAAGGTATACGATATTTAAGACATCAAGGACAAATTGAAATATTTATTTAAGTAAATTCTTTAAAAATGTTCACGTTTGTTAATTAACAAATTAAACAATATATTACCCTATTTGTTATATGCTAAGAGAAAAAAAAAGTTTAGTAAATGCCGCAAATCATATTAAAATGAAATTTGGAGTTTCTATTTAACTTCCTAAAACTCACTTATACTTTGTTTGATATAAATTCTACTCTAAAGCTGACCCAAAATTTGTATTTTTCGGTGGCTTGTCTATTTTACACTATTCAAAAAATTTTGAATCCGATACAATAATTGGTCTGTGACCATAGTACATTTAGGTTATGAGGGTACGTAATTTCCTTAGTTGGGTAAATTGATATGCAGCCCCAAATACATCAACCATAGGACGCATTGTTTATCTGATAACGATATATCTCAAATTTTTTTCACAACTTTTCTTATTTCATTTTTCCGCTTATTATTTTTGTTCGTCGTACCTGCAAGCATCTTCACATAGGTTTGGAGAAATTAGATCGTTTCGATGGTTCCGGTCTAACCGGTATGTGATTGCATTTTCAACTTCTCATTTAAGTGTTGTCTTTCACTTTACAAACTACCCCTTAAAGAATACTCGTTTTTTAAAATTTTCGTTAAGGTTCATTGAGTGTTGTACTCTTTCCGACACGGATAGGGCCTCTGAATTTAGTAGTCTAAACTAAGCTTTAAGCTTTTCTACTATTTTCACGCATAAAACTTCTTGAGGAAGTTCTTGGAAAGCCGACAAATCTCGCAAAGTTTTCCCTTTTTATGGCCTGTTTTCGAATTATCATTTTCGAAAACTAGTAATAATAAAATACAATGTAAAAGGTTTTGTGATATTCGAGTCTTGTAGATTGTTTATGTATTGGACCCAACGATCTAAGAAATGATGATTTCTGAAGTGTTTTTAGAAGACTTGGTGTCTCTAAGAGCAATTGATAGGTTTTGTCCAAACATTACATACCTCCACATTAAGAAAATTCGAGATAAATAAATTGAAAAAAGTAATCGAATACACATTTTTAAATCGTTTATTCTTATAATTTTTTCCTTTGTAAATTTAAAATTTTTTTATTCACAATCCCAATTTAAACTCACAGATGCAAACCTTCTCGTGGTGTGACCTGGACATTGAATAGCTGTTCAATGACTCAGGATGAAATAAAGGCATTTGAGTGATATTTGAAATCTTTCGACAGTACAATTTAAGATGAACAAACGATAATATGTCGATAACTATAATAACTTAAACTAATGAATAATAATTATATATTTTCACAATTAAGTTTACACATCATGTGGAGTATAGTTCGCTTGTTAATCATGCGCAGTTTATTATATCTAATAATTTTCTAGTATTTGACAATTTATATCAAATATGTGTTAGTATGTACGTATAACAAAAGTTGTAATCATTATCTTGTGTTCTATAACGTCGCCAAAAAAAATAGTAGCCAGATTTTCTGCGTGCTTACATGTGACTTTGAAAACTGATTTCTTAATAAACATTAGAAGACTTTACTTTGTTTTAACTTCATTTGATTTTCATTTTGACCTTTGCTTTGACTTTCGTTTGACTTTAACTTCCAGCTTGACTTCCACTTTAACTTTTATTATAACTTTGCTTTGACTCTTACTTTGATTTTGATTTTTATCTTTGATTTTCACTTTGACTTCGAAAATATTTACTGTATTGAATTCACAAAATAAAGAACGCCATATTTTTAAAAGCCAAAGCAACTCGTTTAAATGATAAAATATAATGAACCAAATATAATAATTGGTTACATCGCTAAAGTTATTATTATTACATAGAACTGCTTTTATAATTTTGTTTGGTTTTTGTTGTTGAGTGGACAAATTAAGATTAAGGCGTTTATGCAATATTGGAAAATGGTTATTAATGAATCTAAAACACGGGCACCTTGGTTGGGAAGTTGTGAAATAAAAATTCAGTGATTTGGAATAGGAGAATATATTTAAGTTAAATAATTTTTTTAAGGAAACAGCTAGTCAATTCTCGGAATCGTCTGAACATATCTAATTTTGTTTTATTCGCGTTAATTCAGTTGAGTATAAGTATCTTGATCGATCGCTTAAATAAGTTGTGATTATTTCATATTTGCTTCTTATTTACTCGTGTTAATTTAATTGGTGAATACAAAAAACTTGGTATTTTTTTATTCACGTTTACTTAGCTATATTTAAAAATCCTTTAACCAATATATTAAAATTCGTGAATTCATAAATTTGTTATCTATGTCAGTGTATTAAAAGTAAGTTACTTTAGTAATGTATAAATATTCGTTAAATTTAAGATTGAATAAAGAAATTCCCAATTTATCTGACAATCAGTACCCGAAAGTGCATGAAAGACGGCAAAATCATCCGGCTACCCTTTTTTCTGGGCGACGCTAGGGTTGTTTAATTTTATTAATTAACTGTATAATTCTATAATTATTTATATTGTATTTAATATTTTATTAAGTATATAGATAATTATACTCGGCTAAACAAAAAAAAAATATGAGCGTACTCAACTCTGCAAGTTGTGTAGACTCTATTGTAAATCAGATAACCCAATATGAAGATATGGGGTCTTTCACATTAAAAGGGCCCATTTTGCAAATTTTTTGAAAAATGAGTTTTTATTAGATTCATGTAAAT